GATGAGGGAAGAATGAAGGGATGAGGGAAGAATGAAGGGATGAAGGGACGGATGAAGGGATGAAGGGGGGGATGAAGGGATGAGGGGGGGATGAGGGAAGGGTGAAGGGACGAAGGGATGAGGAAGGGATGAAGGGAGCGAAGAAGGTGACGCAATGAGGCCTGACAGAGGGGCTTAAGTGGGGTGAAAGGGGAGGGTGGGTGTCGAGACAGCGAGCTAAGGGCAGACACCAGGTGAGGCGAGTTTAAATAGATGATGACTGATTGCTGCAGGTGAGAGGCGTGGTCCTGCTCCCGAACCTTAGTTAATGTCTTAGGTGAGATATGCGAGATAATTTAGAGCCAAATCATTTTCTCAGAGTAAATGAAACGTGTTTTTAAAAGAAAGCCCAAAAATAATCCTGAGACGTGGTTTAAGTGCTGCGTTAGCATCACAGAGCAGAAAACAGCTCAGTGTGTGGACGATGCTGTTCTTAGGATCACAGACACACCATTATCAGGACACACTGACATCACCCTCGGCCCCCCACAGCATCAACGGAGTCCCTTTCCACCCCCCACCCCATCTCACACACACTCTGCCTCTCGCCTTCAGCAACACAGTCTTTGTCTTCATGGTTCAGCCTTTTGTTTTCATCGGGGGCAAAGTGGACAATGTCTCTGAGCACATCCAACACGTCTGCTGTGACCTGCCGTTTCTCCACTCCACCACAGAAGATGGAGATGCTCAGCGCTGAGAGGACGGAGTGAGGGGGTCCTGCCTGACACCGGGGGGAGGACCGAAAATACTGACGTGTCAGAGCAGTGGGAGCTTGGAGAAACTCATCTGAAGGGGTTAACAATGGCTGTTATTTCTCTCTAGGAGGATGTTTCTTCTGTTTCATCTCTTAAACCAGGTGCTGTGGATGAATCCTACAGGACGCCTGGACTAGAAGCTCCTTCTTCAGGCAGACTGGGTTCTTTTCTAAAGAATGAAACAGAAGTATAACTGATGGATCTTTAAAGCACTCACATGTTTTGACCCAAAAGTTCCTTGATGGGACTAGCACCATTCTTCTGCAGCTCTGAGTAAGTCAAAATAGTTTTTGTGAATATGATTGAGGTAAAACAAGAACTCTTATTAGGGATGCACCGATATGAAAATTTCAGACGATATCCAATATTATTATTGATGTTATGGCCAATAGCTGATATTTACCTATATTATTTTACTATACTGTATATTACTATA